TATGCGCGCGCTTATGGAAAGACGCCCTTTATTGTCTACCAGGGCAAATGGAGCATCATGGATCGCTCCTTCGAAAGGGACATCATTCCCATGGCTCGGGCTAACGGTGGGTTTTTATGAGACTGTTTACTTGATTTTTTATTAATTCTTCCACTTTCTCCATTTACGTCTTTCCCTTCAGGCCTTGCTCTCGCCCCATGGGGAGTGGTCGGAAGGGGCCGGTTCATCACAGATGCACAAGAGGCGCACCGAGAACAATCGGGTGAAAATGGTCGTACCATGTCTGGCGCAAACTGGAAACGTACTCCTGAGGAAGTCAAGATTTCTCACGCATTGGAAAAGGTTGCTAAAGAAGTCGGGGCCAGTTCGCTTACTTCTGGTACGTGTTTATGTTCCCCATTCAAGCTGATAATTATTCACTTGGAGGTTGGGTATACGCAGTTGCCATCGCCTATATAATGCACAAAGCTACCCACGTTTTCCCTATCATTGGTGGTCGCAAGGTTGAACAACTCGAGCAAAATATCGAGGGGCTCACGATCTCGTTGACTCCAGAGCAGATCAAATTTTTGGAAGATGAGGCCCCTACTTTCGATCTTGGATTCCCAACTACGTCAATTGTCAGTTATATTTTTTTCGTGTTTTGTCTGTGGAAATTGATACTCATGTTTCTCTTTGCATATAAGGGTGATGAAACCCGTCCCAACTACCTTCTTCAGGCTGGGTCGTATTTCCAAAGAATGCCTCTCCCAAAACCTCTTGGTCCCGTGAAAATCTGAAAAAAAATAGAGTTGATACTCGTATAGACTATGTACTTGGAGTTAGAATTAAATCATTGGCTCCTCAATCATGCCGAATGCATAATTGATGACAGCATAATCAGAATAAGCCTGAGGAATTCAAGAACTTGCGAGCAGCTTAATGAGCTTCAGCGGCTCGGCAGAATTGGTACTCGATGGAAAGTGCTTTCGAGCCAATCATAATTCAGGGAAAGCCACTGCCGAGATCGTGCCTATCAAGCTAAAGGGGACAGTCGAGCTCAAGAGGATGATGACCTTCGATCCGATTCGACTGTGATTCATGGAGGATGTCGTTTTGGTCCGAGTCCGATGTAACATCTTCCAAAGTAACATCTATTCAGATTCCGATTCGAGAGCCTATGGCACCTGCTTTTTATTGACTGATCGAATATTACGGTTTACTATAAACATATCTATCAGTACCTAGTTTCACTCCGTGTATCGAGTCTGTGCTTGATCCTGAGAGTCAAACTTAATTGAGTACTGGGGGTATAGCTCAGCTGGGAGAGCAGCAGACTGAAGTTGGTGATTTCTTCTGAAGGTCCCGCGTTCGATCCGCGGTACCCCCATTACCCATTCCGTTGGCCTTTAAGCTCTTTGGCTTTTTTTCCTTCTCTTCTTTCATGTTTTCAAAATGCACGATGATTTTACTCATTGACAATGATTGGATTTGGAGAGGTGTAAACCTGATCTCATAAGTATCGAGGGTATTAGCTTATGGGAGAGCAGACTAAAGTGCGTACATTTGGAAGTACTTGTTGCTCTTCAAGGCTCACATTCAGTTCGAGGTACCCCCATCACTACGTATCATTTCTTTCTCTCTCTCTCTCTTTTTCACATTGTATGAATATGCAAATTAAGTATTGTCCTGAACGTTGAACGTTGAACGGTGAGATGGAGACAAATTTGTAATGCCTCACGGTGCCCCGGAATTGATCGATGGGTCAGGTTGGAGAAGAAACCTACCTACCTTATAGCTTAGCTGAAAGGACTTCAGGTCCAAAGCTCATGTAGTTCGATCTGCGGTACCCCCACCATCAACTGAGCTTTGTGGTTTCGTCAAGAGAAGAGAATAAATAAGATCATTCACTGTTCCTACAATTAATATACAACCCTAGAGCTTTGTAACCGGCGCTGCCCTGGCAGACCCATACCTTGCCCCACCATCCGTAATAATATGTGCCCCAGTAATATGCGCACTAGCCGGACTAACTAAAAACAGCGCCAACCCTGCCATATCCTGCGCATTCCCTACTCTTCCCGTAGGCTGGAACGAAATAAACGTCCCCTCTCCCGCCGTCTTTAACCCAAACTCTGTCATCCTCGAAGGAAAGACGCCAGGGAGGATAGCGTTACAGGTGACATGCTGAGGACCCAGCTTAAGAGCAAATTGAGAAGTAATATGGTTTACGGCTGCTTTGGAGGGTTGGTAGGACCATGTACCGTTTCCTGGACGGGAAAGAGGGGATTCGGAGGAAGGTTCGACAGATGCGGTTGAGGAGATGTTGATTATACGTGATGGGTCGAGGGAGCCGCCAGAGGAAGCGGTTAGGAGGGGTGTTAGGCCTGCAGACACTGTGCGAAGCGTTAAAGAACGCGTGAAAGGATTAATTGGTGACGCACTGTAAAAGATACTCTTGACGTTAACGTTAAACACGTTATCCCACCCCTTCTCTTCCGGAAAATCATCGAAAGGACCTCCCCAGGAGATACCCGAGTTGTTGACGAGTATATGAAGCTTGTTCTCGCGTTTCTTGAATTCGGCAATGAGAGCATCGCAGCCTGCTTTAGAACCGACGTTTGCGACGATATAGTCTACGGGAGCAGTTGCTTTTTGGCGTATTTCGGATACGGCTTGTTGGAGTTGGTCTTCCTTTCTGGACGCGATGTAGACCTTGCAGCCGTTTTGAGCAAAAGCAGAGGCGATCATTTTACCGATTCCGGTGCTGCCTCCGGTGACGAGGGCTGCAAAGAGTGAGGGAGATTCAAAACTGAAAGAGTGATGCTCACCAATCTTGCCCTTGATGTTAAAGAGAGTAGGTACAGAGAGGTCTGGAACAGACATGGTGGGGAACGAAGAAAGCAAGAAACGCGGATGGTTTTGATTTCCCCAGACTCCCCGGCTCGGTACCATCCATCCCCGAAATACCACGTGACACGGAGAACGGTATTCCTTCTCCACGTCGTCGCGAATGGACTTGCCCTCCGACGTTCTGTACCACATCTTCCTCGCTGTCTCTGACGATGGACACATTACTCTTGACACATCCACTGGAATTTGGGTTCTTTCCCGCGTCTGTCACCGTTGGCGTAGTGTTTCATTCGACTTTAAAGGCCTCTGGTCTCGTATATCCATCGACCAATACCAAGTCGAGTCCTTTTCCCCACATGCAGTATCCATAGTTCGGACGGCTCTCATTCGCTCAGGTCCCGACACTCCTCTCCGAATCCGCGCGTATTTGGATAGATTACTCGTTCACGCGAATATCCTCGATGTCCTAGTCAAGGAGTCGCATCGTTGGCATGTCCTGGACCTCCAAATCTCCCTATTCCTACTTCGCGACCTCGGGACTAAAATGAAGAGTAAACGATCTGGGTTTCCTATGCTATCCAAACTTTCCTTATCTCTCGTGGATAACGACGGTCCCGGAGGAGCTTCCTTCCGAGGTGACCCGCTGGATGCATTTCAGCGCGCACCCAAGTTGGAAAGTGTCACCGTCAACACACGGAGGTCGTCCCTAGTCAAACTACCCTGGTCCAACCTTCTTCATTTGTCGATGAGAGAAATCTCTGCGGGAGAATTTCTCCGCGTGTTCGGGAGCACGACGAATCTTGTAGAGTGTTCATTGCTTGTTTCACCTCCTTATCGGTACCAAGCTGATGTCAACGCCACTGCAAATGCCAACGCGGCTTTGAACACGGTGGACACTGACCCCGATACCATACTCCGTCAATCTTCACTCCAAACTCTCCTCCTCCGTAGCACACCTTCTGTCCTAAACTCCCTCGAATTACCCTCCCTAACCAAGCTCTACATCGCTGAACCTACCACGCATCAGCATCAACAGCACCAATACCACAACCAGCACGCATTTTCCTTCACTCCTCTTATATCCCTCGTCCATAGGTCCTTCTGCGATATACAAGTACTGGGGCTGAGCGGTATTCTTTTCGAGGAGTACGATGACGACAGCTATGCCTATGATTCTTTTGACGACTGCGACGTAAGGAGGAAAGGAGACGGAACCCTACACAACACCCTCCTCTCCCTCCCCAACCTCGTTTCTCTCACGTTGGCAGATTGGACACGTGCGACGCCCGAGTCGAACTCGTTGAATAATCTTGTGGCGGATTTGATTATACCCTCTCCTTTTGACGACATGCAGGTGTATAAAGAGCCCTTGGTCCCCAAACTTCGTTCTCTCGTTATAGACGACTACTCTTCCTCGGGACGAAGAGTTGATGGAGACTTGTTGGCTTCTTTGGTCGAATCACGTTCTGTATCCCTATCCAACGCAAATTCATCCTTTGTATCTGGATGTGGATTGGAGAAACTAGCTATCCACGGTGTCTCGCTCGTCCTTCCGTCCCCGAGCGTCCTCATTAGGTTTAGGCAATTCAAGGAAGAGATGGAGTTTGTGGTTACGGTTGGGCATTCGAAGAAGGGTGTTGATGTTGTGGAGAGGAACTTTGATTTTGGGGTTGGGTTTGGGGCGGGGAGGGGTATGGGGAGGGTTTATTAGGGTGGAGGGAAGGTTAGTTGGGTGATATATGGTTTTTTTTGGGTGTAAGTAATGAGGATTTGTTTCTACGGAATGGATAAGGATAAACCCTTTGTAACAACTCAAATTTAAATAATCAAGCTGTTGAAGATACTTACTTCAGACTATACATAGATGCTTGCCTGCTTTTACTTTGTTATGTACATACAATGAACGACCTTTAGGTATTCCACATACTACATAGACACAGATACAAGATAAAGACAAATCCTCTCCCCTCGCATACATATACACTATATTTTGATACGACTTGGAGGACTCAGTTCAAACATACATACCATTCAAATCTTTACTGTCGAGGCTTTAATTTCTCCGGCAGTGCACTTGAGCTTAAGCCTCGATACACGTCTAGCCCCAATGCGAAAGAAGTGGATGGGTGGAAAGAAGGTAAAACAAAAAGCGGATCATCATACTTTGATGGGGGTACCGCGGATCGAACGCGGTACCTTCAGAACAAACGTGAGAAATGCCCTACTTCAGTCTGCTGCTCTCCCAGCTGAGCTATACCCCCTACATTATATACACCTCGATAACAAACTCCGTCAATCGATCAAGCAGAGATGCAATTTTTGTGGCGAGTAGGAACTCGAAGACTTGAAAAGGCTGCTCAAGATGCTCGACTTTCGATTACTTCCAATTGTACCTGCTTCGAGCTTTCCCTTCGAGTTTAATTTTCAAGTCCTTCCATGCTTGCTTCCAAGCACAAGGTTCAACTATCATCCAAAAGACGGATAAAACACCCCATTTCTTTTGGCCCAGTGGGAATACCGCGGATTGAACGTGGGACTTTCAGAAGAAACAATCAAGCATCATTCACTGCTTATCTGCTGCTGAGCTATACCCCCTACATATACCATGATTCAAAAAGAAGAGTTTGATTCGTTCTCGATCTGTTGATGAATCTAAATTTGGTTCCGATAACCATATTTCAAATCCATGGAGTATGAGTACTGCTAGTGGAAATAACAAAAGTCTAACAAAAAAAAAAGATTTCCGAGTCTGAAGTGTAGCTACGTGCTCTCATTCAATTCTACAGTATAAATGGTTCATTGTATTTGTTTTTGACGTTAAATTCTTCCAGTGAGAAATGAGTAATCTATGAACTTACAAATTACCTCAGGAGAGCAAGCATCTTTCCACTTCTCTGCTACCATTTTGTATCATCAAAATTTAGTTTATTCTCTTCCTCATATCTGAGGGTGTATGGAGTGAATGATGGTATAGATGTTTGGTTTTGATGTTTCAACCTAGAGATATTTTCGCCCCACCCCACCGTTTGTGAGGACAACCACAATGGGATATGGTAGTTGAAGATAAGAATGTAAGTGGTCAAGTTTTGATGAGCTCACCTCGTGAATCTTTGAATATTTTAGGGTGATCCCATCAATCAGTTACAATTTTTTTTTACAGAAAGATCTCAACTTGAGTTAATTTCGCATTTCTCAAACAGAAATTTCACTGAGATTTAGTAAGACAAAATTTTCAGGAAATTCTCATATTTGTGGATCACCTTCTCATCAAGATTTACCGATCTGCATAGCACTCGAACTCGAAGAAAAACTCAAAAAAAAAAAAAAACACCGGATGACTTCGATTGTCCGAAGTGTATTGTAACAGATGCATTTTGACAGTGTTTAAATGCTAGTTTCACCGTGTTGGGTCCATCCGATTGTTCTTGCCGCCGTCAAGGTGAGGCGGCGATGGGAGTAAACCGCTGCTATGGAGTACAGCAAAACATACTTGAAGCCGTAAATATACCGACGGTGTACGAGACGTGTCACTCGGAGCTCAGCATTTTTTCAAGAAAGGAAGGTTTCACCCTCGCTGTACGAGGCCTGAAGTGTCTGAAATTGATGCCAGAGATTGAAGTTCACATGAAGTATCTTTTGGCGTTCCTCGGATGACGCCTAAATTGGTCGTTCGCTCCGTCGCGGCCGGCATTAACTCAGATTTGTAGCAGATTTAAAGAATGGAAGCATCGATGTTCAGGGTTTTCAGATTCCATTTGTTGTTACTAGAGAACGGCGACATTAGACTTTCAAGAATGCCATGCAAACTGTCACAAATTAAGAACATTCTGAAAATTAAATTTGGTAGTTGTAAGGTACTGATTCGGACTGAAAGGAAAATTACAGGTGGGCGGTAAAAACAACGATTGCTGTAGGATACACTCCGACGGCGTGAGGCAAGATACTTCCGAGAAATAATGCCAAGTCATATAACTGAGGATTGGTCAAGGAAATAAGATCAACAATCTGTCGAATGAACGTGAATGAGTTTTTAAAATCACAGCTGATGCGTTGACTTACCCAGAGGGAAGTATATAGTGCCTCAGATACCAAGAGTAGAATCAGAATATTTTCTATTTGAGTCCGCTTCCTGTCCAAGCTAGAGCTGAGGTTCTGTTTGATAAAATGACGATAATGCCTGTCAAGATATTGAGCACGCAACTCGTAAGCGAAAAAAAGGCAGAAAGAAAATGCAGACAATTCACCATGTTCGATATATAATGAGCGATGTTGCGACGATATTAGTTATGAATACTGTCAGTGGCAGAATGAACTGAGTGCCAAACGGTTGACTCTATTAAAAATTTGACATGTCAACTCTTCAGCTTGATCACATTGCAACAACGTACAAGGCCAGCGTCTAGCTGAGATTTCAGAGAGAACACGAGGTTGACTATGACACCGACTGTGATAGATAAACGTTCTAGATCCGATGGAATACGATTATTACAAGCATACTGCACTCACCAAAGCTTGTCAAGAGACATACAGCAAGAAATGACCGGCAATAAGGCTGATTGCCGAAGAAGACCCAAGCTCTCCATACTACGGTGACATCTCCCAGGAGATACTGTCAAAAAGTTAAGTAGAAGGCCAGATACTGTTACATGAAGGAACAGAACTCACGCTGATTCGAGTCGACACCGTGGAGATAGCCTTGGCTTTCTGCATTGCTGGCATATAATTATATTCTGGATCTCCCAATCCTGTAATTTGCACTACGTCTTGCATTATATTGCAGACAATGGTAGTTGTCGAGCACAAGAAGATGACCGCTGTGGTTGCAAGCAGGACACTGCGAGCGATGGAGCTTTGTAAACCGCGACAACTGGAAAATTCAATAAGCGTATGTAGATCCGTTCAAAAGCAAGCACATCTTACAAGAGATTGTATACTGCAACTATGAAGAAGAGACCTTCTATACCTTTTCATCGTCAGACTTCAGTCACAACGCGTAAAGGAACAAGTACACTTACCATAAAAGAATCCCCCAATAGCTTCAGCAATGACTGTCTTTCCGATGACGGAGGCGTCATCTCTGGTCAGTACGGATTCAGATACGTTTGCCATAGAGGTAGATTTGACTTGAGACTAGAGAACCTTTCGAGATGGCCCTTAAAAAGCATGCTCATTGTGGAATGATCTGTACCTTGATGAAGACCAGAAAAGCATACACAGGCCGGTGAAATGGGTAAATAACCAATTTATGGAGAGGCCATACTGACACTGCTATGATAATGAATCCGAGAAACGGGTCAATTCTTGCTGTAGCGACTGATATGGATGACAACGAGTGTTAGGCATAGAATATGGCACCGGAATGTAAACATCTATTAACCTTTTTTTTAACTCAAACTATGTTTTCGGCTTCTAGACAGGTGGGAATTGTGGTATGAGTGGCTGTGAGTTCGATGAAGCTGTAAAATTCTAATGGTGTGCTCTCTCTGCGACTCTTCTGATTGCGCTAATTCAAGCCCAGCTGTTATGGGAAGAATAAAAAGATCCGGAGTGCACTGAGATTTTTGTCAGTCAAAGCTGATGCTAGTATTACTCCGCCATACTCGCAATTTAGTCGACGACCAACTCGGATGCTTCTTGTGATCTGCATAGCAACATCTTGGATGATATCATGTGTACTAGAGTACTGGCAGTGCATGTAGTAAGTAGAGTATTTTTGCCCGTTCATTTTGCGGCGTCGTCTTGCAATTAGTAATTAGTGCTTCAATGAGAATGAAGGTGTCATGAATGAGCGAGAACAGTGTGCTATGTCAGTCGTTAAATCAAATGAAGTTTGCGAGAGAAACGCAATCTTTCGGCAAATTGCAGAGGTCAAGACATTGTAGAACATACTTTAGTTCAACATTACGCCTGTCATAATAAGTTCCAAGACTGAAATATATAGTTTAGATTAGTACCCCTATGTAGATATGCGAACGCAGTCCTGAAAGCTATTGAGCATTAGCTTGCAAGCGGGTGAGCATAGGTACACACTCAAGAAAAAACCAAATAAAAACAGTCTAAAGCTCATCGTCGTTCCTCTTCGTCAAATGCTTGACTTCTTGCACATCCACCTTGTTAATACCTTCACAACCTTTGATCAACTGTATAATTTCCTCGACATGTTCATTCCACTCTTCCTTGCCAAAACTGACCAAATGCACATCTTTCAACTTCCCTACTGGCCCAACATACATCAAGGCTGAGTGAATGTTTGAGAGAACGGAAGGATTAGAGAAGAGCGACGAGGTGGGATCTAGCGTCACGGCAATGTATACGTTGTGCTCGTAGTCGTAATCAGCGGTCATTTTAGTTCGCGGTGGTGGTTATGAGAAAAGCATAAAAGGATGAGGCGCGAGGCAGCCGGATGATCATGGTCACGTTTCATCACTACACCTGGGACCTTGACTACGACCTTCGATTGTCATCGCTGCCAAACGACGACGACAAGGACAACAATGGAGGAGTCTTCCGCATCTTTAAGCCACGTTCATACATTAGAATCCCAAGTCGGCGGCCATGCCGGCGTACAGACAACTGAGGATGGCTCGTTGATTATCAAACCTGCCCTGCCTCTGGAGCACAAATTTTACCAGCAACTCACGACTTCAGACGATTTTGACGATTTGAGGCCATATGTGCCTCGATTTTATGGGACGCTCAAACTCGAAGGAGAAGTGGACCAGGCGTCTGAGGGTGGAATCGTGGTCAAGGAAACCGAATCGACGAAGGAGAACAAAGATGAGTATAGGTCAAGTTTAGTTGGCTCATCTGGTATTGAGACTAGAATTTGGTTTACAGTCTCTGGTGCTCGAAAACCTCTCTCATCCGTTCCTGAAACCCAACATTCTAGACATCAAGCTAGGTACTGTGCTTTATGACGAAGAGGCATCCCCAGAAAAAGCCGAGAGAATGATTAAGACTGCGAGAGAAACGACATCCCTCGAGACTGGTGTCAGGTTGACCGGATTTCAGGTGAGCGCAGGTCTTTTTTTGTCAAAAGCCTCCGTTTTTCCTACCCCTTCGATTTCAAATCCTATTATTTTCTGACATCCACTTTATTGCTGCGCGCGCTCAGGTGTATGACAATACCACTTCCCAACCTATTAACACGCCCAAGTCATACGGCAAATCCATTAAACCCTCCGACCTCCCAGAAGGCATACGTCGATTTTTCCCAACGTCTTCTGCGGAATCCTCTTCTGGTCTACCGGCAAACCTTCTC